GACTTCTTTTCGGAACTCTGAGATGCGCTCAATATCGTACAGTTTTGCTCCGCTCAGCTAGTGCATCTTGCCGATCAGGTTGAGCTCGAAGAAAACTGACTGTACAGCGCGGCAATAACAGTAGAATCAATGAATTGAGTGCATTGGGAGGGGCTAGCAACCCCAAGATAGGTGTGAGCGAAGGGTTCTCAATAACAAATGAATGAATAACACGAAATCCATGGATGGAACGGATCTGTGTGTTCTGGTTTTCATTCGTCGTGACTAAGACAAGCTAATTTTCTCAACAAGAATATCACACCTTTTTCCATGGTTGTATAATCGCAAGCAATACCATTTTTGATTAATATAGCCGCCGATTCATTACTAACGGTAAAGAGAAACGCTATCCCCAATATTCCATCATGCCTGAAGAACAAAACTGAGTTTGTGCAACCCAACCACAAAACACAATGGAAATAGTGCAATCTGATCGACGCTTTACGATATGATCGGACTTGGTGACCGTAACCAGATTTTGTGCATGGACAAATAGAAAGAGGCTATATTCCCCATATGGAGTAACTGGAGTCCACCATCAGCCCTAACGCTCTTTACTCAGCCGAAATCCATGTATTCCTTTCTAGCTTTGTGACATGATTTTCTAGGTAGATTTCCCCCCTCGGTTTCTTGCGCTATAGCTAGCTGTAATCTGTACTATGTTCTAGGCTGTGTTCGACTGCCACCCGTCGACGAACAAGTCACGGGAATCTCACATGTGATTTTAATCCTATCACCACACCCATCAGCTGCAGATAAACTGATGACCCCCAATTGTTTTGAAAAAAATCCAAAACGTCACACGTCAAATCAGAAAGCGAAGTTATTCCCGGCATCCGCAAACCAAACAAAAGAATATTTACACGTAAATACACACACGAACACGACGTAATATAGTGACACAGCAGTTCAAGAGGAAGGTTTATTGTCTTTCAAAGCGTCCCGGCGCATCGTCGATGCTGGTAACCGGACGACCTGTGGTCGATTCTGTTCGTGATTCGGAGTCCAAGGTCCGTAACTGTTGTTCGCGTAAAAGTCCATCGGATAAGCCCCAGTCTCGTCTGCTGTCCAATCTGCCAAATCCAAGGCTACAGCCGCCTCGTAGGGGGTCAGGATGGGTTTTGGAAACTCAGTACCCCAATCGATACTCAGCCGGGGACAAGCCACCTGTGAGATGAAAAAATCGGGAACATTATTCATCGTCAACCACAACAAAACTAGTGTGCATCTGTTGCTCAATTAATCAAACGGGGCTTGAAAACGGCAAATAGTATGTGACCGACAATGTCATTTATGTCTACACCTGAGTATTTCACTTGGACAATCAAAAAAAACATGTATATACCGAGTTGTCATTGAGCTTTGATCAAGTATGCTGAACTGGCCTAGCAGTATCCCGTATACTTACTGATTATCGACTTATTTCTTTGTTTCAAAGATAATCGCACCGGGATTTATTTGACCCACTGCCTGAACTAAACAGGAGT